GATATAATCTTTATCCAATAAGATATGAGATATTTATAATCCAATAAAATATTATGATGAAAGGTCATTATACAACAATATATGGAATCATTGGGTAGGTATGAATTTTTTTATTTGAGATTAATTGTTGCTGTGATTTTTTATTTGTTTGATATTTACTTTAATCTCAATTCTTTAGATAATAATAACCAATGAAAATTTGGTATATATAATTATTTGAGCGCTTTCATTCAGAATCATGTAATATTATAGTAAAAGAACAATTTGTAATATGAAGAAGCAAATCTTTTATAATAAAATATGCTTCTCGCCAAGTGACATAATTAATTTAAATATCATTAGCCTAATGTTATGATTCATCAGTTGTAATCACGTGATATTCACTTTAGATATCGGATCAGAATCACATGATCCGTGATTATTACATGTGGGGGATCACTATGAAAAACGAATTATGGTGAATATTTATTATAATAAACTATGAATAACAATTATACTCATAAATTTACATAGTATATAGCAATATAAATATTATTGCAGAATTAATTTAAGTTATATATTTATCATTATTTTCAAAATTCAAAATATAGCTCTTTTATTATAAGAAATTATTGATAATTCTGGCCAAATGATCTCATAATCTGCACAATTTTGGCCAAAATTTTCACCATAATCCGTTTTTCATCATGATCTCCCACATTACATATTTTATGCAGGCTGGAACATAATCGAACCTGTGATATAAACATCGGTTAATTAACAAAATACATAAATGGTACGTAGCTCTGTAAAATCGAATTGTGAAGTCGTCAAGCATTTTTGGAGCAAAGGATCCGACATAGCTAAGAAAACTGGAGTTCCTCTTCGTTCTTGTGAACGGTATGTGTCTATTCTTCGTAAACAGGACGATTCGTCGTCTTGGTCGTCCGCGTAAAACACCAAAAAAATTCGCCAAATCGGGAAAATTTTAAAATCGAATCATTTCAACTGAAATAAAAGCGCGACTCGTAGAAACTCACTCGGGTTGAAATCGGTGACCGAACTGTCCGTGACGAGTTTTCCAGGCTCGGTTATATTCCGATGTTGCCAAGTCCTTACTAACCGCGCGCTAAAGAGAATCGACTTCAATTGTCGCATGACCACGTCGATTACAACTGGAATAAGGTCATATTTTCCGATGAGACAACTTTGCAGTTGTCTCGAAACGCCTGTCGCGCATGGTCTCGTTCCGGTAAACCGATTGCACCAATGACAAAACACTCGTTTCATGCATACTTTTACGCAAAACAATCGTCAACTTTATCGTCAAATCCTCAATGAACACCTATATGAAAATGCAACTAACATGTTTGGACGTTGGCGGTGGTTATTCCAGCGCGATAAAGATCCCAAACACCTCAGGTGACATCCAAAACGGTCTCGAAACACGACTTCCGAATCTCACTCTATAGAGAATGTTTAAGTGTACTTAATAGCATTCATAGCATGTTGAATAAATAACTGTTATTTGTAATAACCACATTTTAATTGGCTAATTAGGACCTGAGTTAGTAAGATTCTGAAGTTGTTAAATGTAACAGTCGTAACAATTAGATTGATCCACATTTATTATAAAAAATAAAAAATATTTTTTTGTGTCAGAATAGACTATCGAGTCTTCATATATAGAGTATCAGTTGCATCGATTGACTGCACATGCAAGGATTTGGCTAAAGCGTGAGGACTTAAATCACACTGGTTCTTGGTAGGTTTTGTTAGTTAAACGTCTTGGAAGGAAAAGAATTCTACAGAAACGGGAGTCGGACAACATGGCGTCGCAACTGCAACCGTCTGTGCTAAATTTAATTTGGAGTGCATTGTTTATATGGAAAGTGAAGACGTTTGTCGGCAAGCTTTAAATATTTTTCGAATGAGATTATTGGGTGCCACTGTAGTTTCTGTTGATTCAGGTTTGAGATTAATTAATCTGATTGTTCCGAGTAGTATGCGATCAAATGTCAAAGAAAGCTGATAAATTACCAATTTAATAATTGCATGCGTTGGAGGCTATTGATTATTTACTCCCTTTGTGAACGATAAATATGTTAAAATAGTTGGGGGAAGCGGGCGGTAAGGTAATCAATCATTCCTATGATCAGTATTACAATCATTAAATTATTTGTATTTTTAGGTGTGATTACAAATAAACATTCAGTGATCCTGGGGCTCGGGGTGTTACATATATTCTAAAGGTCAAATTTTAGAGACACATTGTATTAGTGTTGGTTTAGATTATCCGGGGGTTGGACCAGAGCATGCATGTTTGAAAGATATTGGTCGTGCTGACTATGTCATGGTCACAGATGCTCAGGCTTTAAATGGATTCCGAAAAATGTCATAATTAGAAGGAATCATTCTGGGTAAGAGATAATTGATAATCGATTAATATTGAAAGTTGCTAAGTCTTTTTGAATATACAACCATCGAACTTGCAAAAACAATGAAATCCGATCAAGACATTTTGTTAAATTTTAGTGGAAGAGGTCTTACAATATAAATAATTGTTGTGAGGAAGTGTCTGATTGTCAAATACCTAAACAATCTTTCACGTGTAATTGCATATTAGCTAATTTTTTTTTGATTAATAATGGGTCTCAACACTGAATCAACTGCCCAAAACTCGAGGCCACTTTATCAAATTAACAGTGAAATCAAAAAATACGAACCAAAGCAGAACGGAAGAGTGAAACGATTTCTCAAGATAGTTATTTATAGTTAATCTATTATTTTTCAACAAGTCATACCAATTAATTGATTTTATTTATGATGCTTGCTTGTGTAACCAATATCTTGATGATTTCACGCGATCGCGTTATATATGAAGGTGACTGTTTTCTTGCAATACTTTCTAAACAATTACGATGAATTAAATGCGATTATAAGATTCGCTTTTTACTTAAATACTGAAACAAATGACGTTAAATATTCTTTAAGTTTCATCGTTGTTAATTCATATGAAGAAGAAAAAAGTCCCAAGGAAATTAGAGTCAAGTAATACTTTCATTTGTATACTTATTAATAATCCAAATGAGATATATACCGCCTCCATATATGTATGTATACTTTTGAATTGATATTGAACGGTTACTTAGTAAGAACCAGATACTGGTTGGTGAAAAAGAAATGTTAAAAATACAGCTCGCTTGTTTATTGTTACTAATATACTAATTGATTATTACAGGAGTTATTGAGAAAAGTATGGAGTTATATAGATGCATATGAAGTTGCGGAGAAATCCATAGGAGGATTAAGCGATGAAACCGAGAAATTAGAGGAAGACGAGGATGATGGCTGAACAGCAATCTCAACAACAACACCGACACCACCATCATCTTCTAATATTGATCAGTATGATAAAGGTGAATTTGAAGACATCATTGACAGCATATCACAGATAATTGAGATAAATAGTGTTGACAATGATGATGATGATGGATGTTGCCAATAATACATCACAGAAAGTACTACAATCGAAGATAATGCGGCGCAATGATGGTAATAATTATCTTCGTCCTAGGGAACGCCAAAATTATGAGTCGCGTGGTCATTTACCAAAAAGAGTGTGTGGAGGACGTGGACGAAGTAATTCTACGAACAACGATAGAAGTAATAACTCAGCACCACAGAAACACGGACACCCTCCTAAAAATTTTACAGTGCAAGACACCTTAAACCAGCAAATTTTACTAGTAAAATTGGCACTTTAGAACAATTCAACTTCGTTAAAATTTAACCAATTAACAAACAGTTTTTTAACTTTATTTTATTTATTTTTTTACAATAAAAATTGTTTTCTAACTGCATTAATTTTTTGTGTGAAAATTTGCTGGTTTAAGATGTCTTGCACTGTACATGATAATAATCAGCTGCCGAAAAAACGAGAACGATCTCAAAAAAATCTCGACATGACTAAAATATAAAGCCAAAAAACAACGTTCTCGTCTAGCTCTGGAGAGGCGGACAGCGCAAGGAGCTGAGGATCTTCCAGGTTTGGATGAATGAACAGCGCAAGGAGGTGAGAGTCCTACAGGTTTGGATGAATGGACAGCGAGAGAAGATAAGAAATTATTAGAATTGGTACAGTACCATTATTAGAGGTTTGGCTATATCTCCGTGGAGTGACATTGCTTATGACATCAAAGCTCCTGATGCCACAGGGTTTTCTCGCTGGAGAGTTTTGAAAGGTGTTTAGTCGCATCATCTATAGTATTAGATTTCTTATATCACATGCCTTAATATAATTTTTAAATATCAACATAGCGCTTGTTTTTCTTGAAGATCAAGATTTAATTTGATTCTTTCATTCAAAAAGTTGGAGCTTTATAACATTAGTGCTTGGAATATCAGAGTTTTGAACGTCATTCATGCTCAGAGTGCCAGTGTTCGCGTACCAATAATTTGAATACTATATTTAGCGAAAGGTTTACTAAATCGAAAAACTACCAACTAAAAGATCGTGTAAACGCAGATATAGGACGGGATCGTTGACGCGGAATTAACCAATGGATTAAAAAACCCTGCAACCCTAAAATGAGTAACTAATACGCGTAGGAAAATTGATTTATTGAATATCACGCATTTTCTATAAATTTTAAACGTATAAATTTTATAAACGTAAGGTTATTTATATGTTCAACGTTCAAAATAGATTCGGCAATATATATTCTTGCTTATTTCTTCATTCTACACGATATTCCCATAGAATCAATGGGCCGTTTGACGAAGCTTCAGGATAAAAAAAATAGCAGCAGTATAAATTTATCATCACCATCGTGTCAGGATCACGTGATCGACACTCTTGCCGAGGCTAGGGTATTACATATTTCGCGCGATACGCGTGGTTACTGTACTTTGTAGATCTTTGTGATTCGACATTATTTCGAATATCCATGGTGTTAAAGTTTTTAAACCTCAGTGTTCACGTATGTTTCTTCTTCGGATTGGTTCCTCCAACCCCAAGCAACGACCACAAAAGTTTTTTCTTATCAGCTGTAGACGAACCACCAATCTTGCTAATAATATCAGAAAATTTGGGGGAATCTCAGGTATCTCTAAAGCACTGGTGTCATTGGGTCTGGCTTCTCGAAGAAGCGTTTCTATTAATAAATCTTGCGTGGTTACATCATATCCTATTTTTGTTTCTCTAGATGATACACGATCGGGGAGTGCTCGATCACTCGTTTTCCAAATAATAGATCTTGCCGGAAGTGCATAACCCCCGAGTCGCGAATTGGATTCGATGCTAGAAAAGTAATATCCATCAAGCTTAGTATGATGAAGCAAAGCTTCGGCGTAAGTCGGCATGTGGATTAGTTTACCATTGCATCGAAAGGCGATGACTCTCTATTTTTTAATCCCACTATTAACATATTTATTCGAAGTATTCATATTTTTGTGGAACGAATGAATTACAAGTCAAAGCACTGAGCCACCAACCCATGCCTCGGAAATAAAGGTGATTATGCGTCTGCTGCACCACAACTTGCTGAAGCAAACTCGTGACAAATAACTTGAGCAATTCCCTTATCGACACAAAAACAATACGACGAAAAAATATTTGACTAATACTAGATTTGGCACAATAATGCGATAATACTCCTCTCTCAAAAATAAAAAATAAATATACCTTAGACGGATCAAAGGCAATATCAAATTCGGCAGATGGGGTTACTATTAGCGGTATCTTCTGGTTCGCGAGATACCTCAATGTGCTCCTGTTCTCACTTTAGCTTTTTATTTTTATTATAACAGAGGGCGTCGTGACAGTTTCTTTTTTGCTGGTGACTCCTGCGACACGACGACTTCTTTTCGTTTACTACTAGACATGTTCATTGTGGGCTTGGCCTGCGACAAAGTAATGGTCCGTTAAACAACTTGAAATACATGCATGATCTAAATCGATTTGCTTGTCATCGTGTGCTTTTTACGTGATATTGGACAAAATAAAGTATCACATCTTCCGATTATTTACCTCTATGAATGCTCAATTACTATGTAAGGGCAATGTTTGGTTAGCAATTCCAAATACGTACGAAGAAATGAATTAGGAAACTTATTGTTATGCATCGTGGCTTTCACACCAGAAATATATTAATACAACTCAAATTGCTGATTTTGGACTAGCAGACATAAAAAATCTGATCGTTATGAGTCCAGAGGTACTAAATACTGAAGGCCATAGTTTTGGGATGAGTGAACGACCATGTGATGAACGAAGCCACAATATATACGACCGAAGATACTAAATAATGTTCACGGTTTATTATTGACAAAGGTTGTGACCTTATTCCGTAAAACAGACCAACACATGAATTAAAGAGTATCTTGGGTTATGGGGACAAAAATTAAACGAACTTGATGAGGAGGTGAAATTACAAACAACAAAATTAATTTCAATTTCAACTAATACAGGTAAATTCTACATGTAGTTCAAAATCTGAATTACGTTATATTTGTTTGTTTAAGATACGCGTGGAAACAATCAGCGTCCTATTGTGATTATTCTTTTATTGTTATCGTGATTATATTTGTTTGTTTGTTTGTTTGTTTAGGATACGTATGGAAACAATCAGCGTCCCAAACTTTGACTACATCCTCATTCTCCCAGCTGTACAACGATGACTACAAAAAAGTCTCCAATATTGATTTCGGTGGTAGGTGAATTGAAGTGTAACTGTAACTGTCTGCGACTAGTTGTTCAGTCATTGATATCACTAGTTCGTCAAGAGAAAGATATTTTGACGAGTGGTCACAATTATGTGTACTGGCGGTATTCGAACTCGTTTTGCCTTCAACGTCCGTCACGCACCCCAACTCAGTTATAAAACGAAACTGGACTATTTTCTTAAGCGAACGAAGATTACCCCGTGCAGATAGTATTAATCGGACCTTCTCCATTCGAGAAATATGTGCGGTGATTATACTCGATGCATTCTGTGATCTATTATTTTGTGAATATATAGCGTGTTTAAGTTTCATCCATTTTAATCGAAGATGTCAGCGTATGTCTCTCCTTATAACCGGCTCTTTCACTCCCAACCAGCGATCGAAAGCGACCCACAATCGTTTATTTAAATTATCAGTTTGGAGTTTTGCTTCGTCATCACGATCTATAATAATTATTTCATCATCGACCAGTTTAAGAAAATTGGGTGGGTATTAGATATCTCATTATTATTAACCTAACCTCTCGAATTAATGTTTCGATTAATAAATCTTTCGTTGGGATATCCCCCCCGGAATTTTGATGCTATGTGATCCGACGAAAAAAGGGGATTGTTCTTCCACTCTTTTTCGATATAATGGATTTTATCGCGTGTACATAGTCCTCGGGTCGCAAACTGAGTCCTATGTTAATGTACGGTGCACGGACAAAGTCGAATAAAATCGATATTAAAAAGATTAGAATTATGTTTTATGCGAACCAAACCAATAATTCTCTTGATCATGCGCTTTCTACAACACAACATACGAAGTCAAAAGCCCTAGATGCAGAGCAAACAATTTTTTGCGTAACTAAGTATACCTGTAACAAGTAACTAGGTAGTCGATCTATCAATGCAAAAGAACCCTATACACATCAATACTATAAAAAATTCGAAATAATATATACCCGGTTCGAGTCGAGCACATTACACTCTGACGATATTGCCACAGTTGATGGTGCGGAGCATTGCGCCTCCGTTTTTTGTTATTGCGGGCTCGGGCGTGTCGTGACAACTTTGACGAATTTGCGAGTGATCCTCCCAGCGATACGACAGTGTCCACATTCCGTTTATTAGTAGACGCTTGCATTATAGTCGTTTGTCGCTTCAAAAAAGAGAATAGAGAAAAATGCAAATCGGGGTAAAAAACGTTGATGATGATCGGGTATCAATTTATTTATAGTTTCATTAGTAAAATTTATAATTAAAGATTTTTATGTATGCAAAACTGACGTGTGATCTTCTTCCTTCATTTCAGAAACATTTCAGAAAGACTAGTTTGTACAAAAGTAAGCGTTTTTGTCAAGAATTGGTCGGATTTGTGCTTTCTTTTGCTTAAAATCATTCGGCGCATATGTCGTTTCTGTTTTAAAAAATTTGGCATTATTTTACTTTGACCGTCAACTACTCATTCAATTTTGGGCACGGGAGGATCTAACTATGTACTTTTCGTGATAAGTTGCGAAAATAATGACAAATTAGTTTGTTCACAAACATCCCATAAAGAACTGTTGGCGGTCGCGTATTATGAAACAATTCGAAGATATAAGTTATCAAAAATTATCTTGAAGGTATAAAGCGAAAAACGGAACTTAATTTGAAAGTTGAGTTAAATTAAACCTAATTTGATAATATTACAAATTGAAATGAAAAGTTCAAAGTTAACATAATGAGCGATTACTATTTAAAATAGATCATTAATTGTGCACTCGAACAAACGAAGAGACTTGCATAATTCGTTGTGAAACTTGAGAACTTATTCGTCATATAAATGCTACGTAAAATAAAGATCAGTGGGGAAGCATAAAGCTGAGTCAAATTTTTTTCATGTATCGGTATGTATTAAGATAATTTGATAATGCTAATTTATCAAAATAGATTACATATATATATATATCGATATATATACAGTATATTAGTTCCAATTATGGAAAAGATATTTATGGTTATGCACGAGCAGATTTAGTGAGCAGAGTCATGATAAATATCTTATACACGACATCGATGGCTGTACAAAACATACAGGTGTGTGTAAAGAACGTCGATCTAGAGATTTACTGTGTGTAAACATTTGCCGCCAAAAAAAATTGCCACCTTCACATTCAATTGTGGAGTAGTCAAACGACAATGATGTAATAATTAGGGGTTTGAAGAATAAAAAGACCTGTGAACGTTTTCACGACTGAGCTTGAACTTCTAACAAAAAAGAAGTCTCAATTATCACTTGAATCAGTGGCAAAAAACCTATACCCAATTTTCTCAAAAGATGCTGATCTTTCTTTTTTTTTAATTCAGAGTACTATCATGGAACAAAGTTTTCGGAAGCAATAACACGCAAGAACTAGTCAGTATAAAAGCATCAGATATTGATACTTGGATCAGAAGTGCCATTTACTCTAATTTCAAACATATACGCAAGGAGTTAGAATGGGGTATGTAAATATGCACATTAATGATAATACATGTATAATTAATCAACTATAGTTAAATTATTTTATGGACTTTAGGCATGGTTTTATGCATTTTGCGGATATTCAACTAAAGGTTAATTCTTTAACATACGTAGTACGAAATCATTGTTATGTCGGTGCAGATGGAAAAATATATAAATTTGGTCCAGAAATACCAAGAAAAAATGTATTTATCATTATTGTTATTCTTCATCATCATTCATTATCATATTATAATTACAACACAGTTGTCATCTTCAGCGTTAGCGTTACCGTCATCGTCATCAGCATTAAAGATCCGAATCGATCATTTTTTGCTGATCATTCATATCCAAGTCAATCGATTGGAACTAAGGATGATCCATCATTTAATCACAAATCGGATCATTCGGATGACCCGTCGATTCAGTTAATTGCAAATCGGATCATTCAGATTCCGTCGTCTCCAAGTGCGTGTAGTATACAGTATTCGATCCAAGGTATTAAACTCTTCGGATGATTATAATCAGTCGGTCAAATCCGGATTAGATCGATTACGGATTGAACGATTCGGACCACTAGTTATTAATTGTTTATTTGTTGATCGTTTATAATAAACGATCAACAAATAAATAACGTGTTATGTTTATACTGATATTAGCACAACTATGTAATATTATGTAATATGCAATACGTAACGTGTTATTACACGTACTGATATTACAGTACGTATAATAACACAGAAAACACGTTATGTATTGCGTACTGTAATATCAGAACGTGTAATACACATTATTAATTTACGTATTACATAATTGTGCTAATGTCAGTATAAACATGACGCGTGTTATTAATTGTTTATTAATCGATCGTTACAAAATATATATATAAGGACTGGGAGTGGGTTGTCTTTTTTTTACAATTGCTTTTGATTATTACTCTTTCGTCTTACTTTCCTTTCTACTTTTCTTTATTATTTTGTCTGTCCTCCGTTACTTTTGTCTATTTTGTTTTTATACTTTCACTTTTGCCGATTATTTGTCCTTTATCTATTTCGTCTTTATACTCTTGTCTACTTCCACTTTGTCTACTTTCACTTTCCACTTTTGCCTACTTTCACTTTCCACTTTTGCCTACTTTCACCTTTCACTTTTACCTACTTTCACTTTCCACTTTCACCTTTCACTTTTGCCTGGATTTGAAAACAATTATGTAGAATAGTCCCCGCCACTTGGGACTATATGAGAATGTTGTGGCCGCTCGTGGGGCAGGTCCGAGTGTAAATGATCTGTTCTTGATGATTCGTTTCTGATCAAACGTTTCATTGGGCGATGTCGCTTTATCCGTTTATTTGGTCAGATTCTTTATGATCGTTTTGGAGGTCATACATATATTACCTGTAGCCCTAATTCGTGATTATTGAATTTAAACGGAATAGTCCCCGCCACTTGTGGACTATATGAGAATGT